GGCCACGTCTGTTTTGCTGTGTTTGTGAAAACTTTGCTATTTAATGATGCGTAAATAAAATAATGCGAATGTAGATAATCGTAACCAGAATAATAGGTAGAAAATAAGTAGCCATCGAAATATAAAAGAAAACCACCCGAATTTTCACATCGATGCTCACAATACTAGACCAATTCGTAAAAGAAAAACAATGGTGTACACTCTAATAAACGGTTTTTTCCTAAACCTAAAAAGGATCTTATCCTCGGTACACGGAAAGATCCTTTTTTGGTTTTGTGGAAAAGGAGGCTCGGTAACAAACGATATATCGAAAACTTAAATAAAGGTTCTGCAGCAAAGGTTTTGCACTGAACCTTAATTAAATAAGTGGAATAAAGGTTTCGTATCAAAGGTTTCGTACAAAACCATTTCTCACAATTAGAAAAAAGGTTTTGGAGGAAAGGTTTGGTAGAAAACCAATTCGAGAAGCAGGAAAGCGAGGTTTCGTAGCAAGAGTTCCGTACTGAGCTTACACCGGCCATCTGTATACAAGATTTTCTACAAAATTATCTGCACTAAACCTTGTTCCACATTTGAGTAGCCAAATTTTCACATAACACCATAAGTGCCGTCAATGGCATGCGTACCATTTGTAGTATTTCGCAAAACCAAAGAACTATATACATCAAACGAACCAAACGGAAATGTAAATAACCTATAGAGTAATTTTCCACATCAAGACAGCAAATTATTATAAGACTCTTTTCAATATAGTATCGATTCATTTGAAATATACCTCCCTAGTGCTTTTCAGAAACATTCGAAACGCCACGCATACCACCGACGGCACAACAGTTTACAAATCGTCGCCAACGATGATTTCCATATGCCAAACAACCTGCAACATACAAACAAATCAATGTAAGCAACTTAAAGAGATAAAACTTACTCAACGATTTACCTGCGTGCCTCAAACTGCAATAAACAAAATAACTAATTCGTTATATTATAGAAGTTTAAGCTTACGAGGGAACGTTTAGAACTGATAAATCGCGTTTTAAATTTTGGTGAGGCCATTTTGTAGAGCTTGTTGAGTTATTAACTAATATCACTATCATTTGTGCCAAGAGATTGTTTAAGAGTAGATTTTCTACGATCGAAGTTTTCAATAGTCTACCAAAGCCTGAAGTCAAAGGTCAAAAGTCAATGAATAAAGACGGTGGAATGGACTTGTGATATTTTATTTAAGCATAGACAAAGACATTCGCGCTGTAGTAACATTGCGTGTCTATCACAAATTAATGTTAATGATATGAGTCATAAAAATGGTGAAAACATAAAACTCTTTTACAATTAGCAAACCCACATTTGATAAATGAACTCTCATCACACAAAGAACAAGTCAAGTCAATATTATGAAAACAAATTTGATCGACAGTTTCAAATGCTTCATAGTTCTCTGAAAAAAAACCTGCTTTCATCCAAGCATATCTCCACATAGGTGAGAATACATCTGATGTTAACTGATTGTAAATTAATGACTGTAACCTTATTATTCCATTACGAGATCACAAATCGTAATTTAATTCATCGAGAGCCACTCTATTACAACATCTCTTTGCAAAGTTTTTCCACTGTCTGAAAACAAATGTATCTAAAGATTGATGTGTTGATGTACATTTTTGTGGAATCTGTAATCTTATAGAACCTTTTTGAAAACATTGATTAAACTTATCTTTCTGGAATTTTACGGCAAAGGTGTCATGATTGAATACCATTTTAGATGATTTTTTTAAAAATATTTCATCATAGTATAGATTCAAAATAGAAGTATTTACTTTCCCAGAGTTGGAGCATTCTGCTAATAAATTTTTCAGTCGAAATAAACTTTTCTTAACATTGACACCGAAAGTACCATTAGGCTCCTGTAGTACCAACAAACATTTGCTGATAAAATTGCCGTTTGAGTTTAAGGTTGGTTGCATAGTATAACTCTTCAAGAACACTATGACAAACCTCAATCAAAACTCCAACCACGCCTACACCCGACACCGTTTGATCGCTATATTTTTGCACTTCTTGTGCTGCTCTGTAAAACATTCTGTTTTAGTCTCTTCGTCTAAGTTTCCTTCCTCTTGCTATCTGTGATTGAAGCAGTTCAAATAGTTTTCCCATTTAATTCATATTGGATCTGAAGTGTATATAATTTTTACAAAAGGTTGAGAAGAAAAAGATGCAGCACAAAGTTCTCGATTATGTATTGTTCAGCAATTTTGGATGTCACTATGAGAAATTGTAATCAAAATCAATGCTTTTCGGCAGCATGGATTTCAAATTTCGACCAGCTTCTTGTTTGCACCATTCGATTACTTCATTTGTAATTGTACCATTCGATATTACACAGTGTTGCGAGAAAATCACCGTGACTCTGCCATCCTTATGCGGTTAAATAACAGCATAGATATAGATGGATTCTGTCGCTGAGGTATTTTCTTTAAATTCTTGATGTTGACCGCTCTTTCGATAAAATTCTGCTGCATCAAAATCATTTCGATTAATTGCAATTCGCATTCGGCTAGTCATTCTTGGACGTAACTGATTGTTGATTAAGATAGATCTACAAATTTTAAAAAGTTAGTCAGATGAGAGAAAGAATTCATTTGAAAAGCAATGTAAAATATACGTTCTCGAAGAAAACATTAAAAAAATTTAAAAATAAGATAATATTTAATTTGTTTTTATTTTGGCAGTGCATGGAAAATGTCCTGATTAATAAAGAGGGATAGTTCTTGTGTATGTGTGTGTGTCTTGGTCCAATTTAAGAAACTATTTTTGCTTCACTTTTTACCGCATTGTTGTAACACTTATCCATGCGAATCATAGCCGTACATATCACCACCAACATCACTTGATACACCGTTAGATTGTGCAGTGTATAAATTTCACTAAAACTTCTTACTATTTTCATATGTGCCTCTAAACTTTGTGATGCATTTTCTTTTAGCCAAGAAATTGGTTTATGTTCCGATAATGCAATACCGCTATAGGCGCCTCTAACAAGAGTCATTTCTTGATACGAAAAACAAATTTCTATTCTGTCCGCATATTTATGAATAATAACCAAAATATAATAGTTTCCACCGTGTGCATCGGTAAATGCATAATAATATGCAATTTCTGGATGTTCTCGTTGATCAAGCGCTCTCAGTAATATGGCAACAAATTCTTTACCATTTTGATAACGCTTCAGTTCCCAAATGTCAGCAAGATCTTGAGTGTATTCTTTAGCATCTTCAATCGAATGTAATGTTTTCACATTGTTCATTGCCGAATATTGGCATTTCGGTGACGATCTTACCGCAATACGTGATGATTGTGAGTGAGAAATAACTTTTCCATTCATTAAAGAATCATATGAATGTGCCTCAGCCGACTGCTGAAGACCAATATGGTACGAACCTGTGGCAAAGGTTCCGTCGCATTCGGAGTTACTGATGAATCACTGTGATACGTCTTCTTGCTACTCATGACTGCTTGTGCAGATAATTAGAATCAATGCAAACAGGCTGTACTTACGTCTTTTTTTTACAATACCTTTTCCGTTTACTTAGCGAAAGAAAAATTTCTGTTTTTGAAAATTTAAATGCGCCTTTCTATTAGCATTCGTCAAGCTTTTATACAAAAATATGTACAGAAGGCCGTAATGAAAAAGACGTATAGAAGAACATATACAAGTGGCATGCAAATAGACTTACAGCGGTACGTACAGAAGATGACGTCAAGAAGAAAGTGCAAATTTGGATGTAAAGATTGAGACATATAGATTTGTATTTGTATGAATTTCAACGTAAGCAAAACCAAAATGTCACAACTAAACTATGATTAAATTTCAGATTTGGCCAAATCTTGGCTTTTGCTCACGAAAGGCTCAATACTTTTTTTATCAATGTTTATCGAAAAAATCACATAATGGATTTGATGTGAGTGTGGGTATGAATATGATTGTGGATGAAGAGATGATCCACTTCCACACCACACCCAGTTGACAATTCAAGATGCCAAGTTCAAGAGTGTAAGTATGGGTATAGGTGTACAATCAAAGATACACACCCACACTCTCATCCTCATACCTGTTTCTAAAAAAAACATGGACTGATCCCATCACTGATAACAATATGTGTGGAGTAATATGATGATGCAGTAATTATATCGATAGCCATTAGATATTCAAGAGTTTCATTTTTTTCATGATGATTATTCTTTACAATGCTATATTCATTGTTTGTTTTAAGCACGTAAGATCACTTTATAATAAAAAAATACGTAGAAATACTGTACGTTTTTTTCTCTCTCAATCTATACAAATAAACAATCAACAAAAAAGTTTCTGTTTTTCTTTTCCGGCCTGTTTAAATATATTATTTGGGTCTCACTTTTTGATTTATTTGCTTACACTATTTACTAAACAACAATGATTATTCAACATTAGAAAAGTAAGTATTATATTGTCATACCTTGTAAAATTTTCTATCACACGTTGTAATTGATCATAATTAATTTCCAATCGAATATAATTTGATAGACACGTTTTTGTGTTAAGTAAAAATTGTTCTGCATAATCATCATGAACATTGATAAGACCAAGCGTAATAAGATGAGAATATTCAATAACTGATAATTTTCGACTGTTATTATTTGAATCTTGTTCTTGTTTGAAAGTTTGTGGCTCTGAGTTAATCATAAATAACACTTTCAGACATGGAGAATATTAAATATAAACTAACTTAAGCGAGGCATATGACTTATAATATTCTGTTTCAAATTATTTCCATCGATCAATGTTTCATGACATGTACTAACAAAATACAAAGCCAACTTCTTCAGATTAATCATTCGCTGTAAATGTGACACAATTACTTCATTATAAAGAAATGTAACATTAATCCATGTCAACGAAATATCTTCAGGATTAGGTAGTTTTTGCTAGAACAAAAACAATATCATCATTTAGTAGAGAAACTTATATCAGACTTCACAGCATATTTACTTTTCTGATTTTCACCGAAAATCCTGATATTATCCTGATTGTTTTCTGAGTTATCGATAAAGTGCCTTTCTTTTGACGTTATTATAATATATCGTATGTTCCTAGATGATCTTTTGTTGAAAGTTCACATTAGCATAGTTCCAATAGATTTTTTCTTAGAGAAAGAGACATTATATAGACGTTGTATTTTTTTGTTTATTACTTTATTTGTACATCTTTCGTTTGAACTATCACTATTAAAAAGAAATTGACCATATTGCCTGGGAGAGGGGGTTAGTCTGCCTCTCTTCGAGAGATTTGATTGAAACCAGTCTTTCAAAAGTTGTTTTATATAGTGCTGAAAGAAGATTTTTAGAGAAAAGATTTGCTATATACAATTTCTTTTCATTTTTGCAAAAGTGCCGTTGTACAAACTAGATTTTTGAATGGTGATTCAAAGTGAAAGTTCTCCTTCTATTGAGTGTCCGAATTGAATGAAATCAATTTGAATTAAATTCGGTTTGATTTTTATTTTTACATCTGTAATTGCTATAATTTCTGAATAGACACATTTGTCGACAACTATATGTAATCGACATTGTTTTCTACAATATACGAAAGAAAAAAAAGAACGAGAAAAAAGAGAGCCAATGAAATAATGTACAGTACCACCACTGTGAACTCGTAGAAAAAAACTTCACTGCGCCTCTTATTTCTCCTCATCAGTTTTGGTTTTGTCTGCCTACAACGTAAACTTACATTAGCCGATCCATACTTGATTACTTGATAAGTGAATTTGCTCCAAAATGCAACATTATAATCGATTGACAGTATCTTGATTTTTTTATTCCAATTGTCCTGCCTACTTTTCTTACTTTTGATCTCTAGGTCACTGCGAACCCTGATGCAATATTGATATTGAAAAAAAAACAATCAAGTGTAACAATAAATAGCTTATTCTTCTTGTCAAGTAATTTACCTTGTTGATCATTGTACTTTCAATGGGAAGAATATGAAAGTTAGTAACAAACAATATGCGTAGTTGATGCAAACGTCCATCGAGTAGAAAAAGACATTCTTCGAAACGATACACAGTCATATATAGTCTACCACAGTTGAAGAAGAAAACATTGAAGAATGTTTACCGAATGATATATATCCACATCCCCAAGATACTGATGCACAAAATTTGAAATGATGAAGTTTATGACACATAATCAACATATTCATAAAGATGTTGGCGGGTCGATGGATTTCCAAATGATCTAGTAGTATGTCTTCTTTACCGTTAATATTTAGTGTCACAATTTGATTTTGAAAGATGTTAACTAGAGATGATTTATCTAGACATCAATATAATCATGTTATATCTCTGGACAAAATCTTTTTTTTCCTTTTTCAATAACTGTTACATGTATTTGTATATTCTCATTGTCTGTCATTTATAATATTCCTGACTGAAAGAATAATTCTATCAATAATATTTCTCTTCAAATCTTGTTTTGTCAAAATCTATCTCATAATGTACGCAGACGTTTTTTTCATCTGATGCACAATATTCTCTTTCCTTAATACAAGTTAAATAAATCATGAACAATTATTAGTTAAACATTAAATTATGCTACTTCTCTTGTTTAACCTTATCTTTGCTTTTCTATTTCAATTTTGAACATCATAATCTTAACCATTATTTATGTGAACACTTATTTATCATCGTAAGTAATCTACGTGATTTACAAAGAACAATCAAAGGCATCCTATGAAAAAAGGATTTACATTTCATTTTTTACGTATCTAAATTCATATTCTATTTTTATATAATCTTAGATATTTAATTGTTTAAAAACGTCTTCCAGATATTTTAGTCTTGTTCACATTTACAATGATATGTTATTTAACATATGATAAATAAGATGTTCATTAGATGTAAAACAAATATGTGTTATTAATTTTCAATCTTCTCTTCAGCTGCTCACAGATCATCAGATGTTTTCTTTCACATAAAAAGAATTCGCTCAATATTACAAAGACAATTAACAATTGTCTTATCAAGAGACATGATCTACTCTGTAGTTCGAAGAAACTGAATATGGTCCTAAAAGACAATGAATCAAGTTTAAACGAAGAATCAGTTGAGGACAAAGAGGAACTGAGTGTGAACTGTGAGACAGTGATGTAGGGAAAATTGTTTGAGTAGTATACATAGTGGCGTCTACAGGATTTTGGCGATGGTAGGGCTCACAGTCTAGGCGATTGGGTTGAGCCTGACCCTGTCCTACCTTGGTGACGCCACTAACGAGAGAACCTTGCGACTACACTTGCCGATCAATTTCAACTTAAGAAATATCTATATATTTCTAGTTATCGACATTTCTGGTACTTCATCCTAATAAATAAAAAATATGTCTAACCGAACATCTTGGTTCATTACATAGAATAGCTTCTGAAAAAAAAAGAGATCGATGGTTTGAAGCAATATTTTCGAGATTGACCGGTTTTCAAAGAGAAATAAATTGATTCAATGATCAATGTCGGTGACTGATATCTTCTATTATTCGTTTTATGTTAAGTAATGGATTGGATTTTCAACTCAGTATCGTTTGAATATTTCTTTCTTTTTTCAACAAACTTGCCTACAGCGTCTGATATACGTGATTTTTCGTTTCTTACCTGTCACCAACATCAAATCTTGTTTTCTTCTACTTCGAAATAGTTTCAAAATAATTCAAGTCTATTGATATATTTTTGAAGTAATTGTGATGTTTTTTAAAATAAAAGGCAACATGAAGAGTTTGCTTTTATTAAATGATATTGATGAATATGTGCCTTTTTCTTACTTATTATAACAAGTTTAACATAATTGTATGATGAAAATCGTAGATGTATCCAACTGGTAATCCATTTTGAAATGATATTCTTGCTGGTTGTGTAAGTTGAATAACAACTGTAATTGCTTCACATCCAACAGAAACAATATTAATCCAACGAAAAATCAATTCATCTAAAGTTTATCGAAATACTTTTCATTCTCTTCAATTGATATAACAACGTCAACGCATAATCAATGAATTTGCTCTGTCTTTTCTTGAAACTTCAGTTGGTCTTATATTTGGACAAATTCATGAAAATTTAAATTGTCGACAGGCACATGTTTTTTGGTTTTCATATAAAAAATTATTGAAAATGCATTTATGAGAATAATGGTTTTATGAGCATAAATTTGTTCTGTGATAACATCAATATTTTATTGCGATGGTTATGAATATATTAAAAAACATCTTTATCAAACACATTATCAAATATTTCCATCTGAAAACAAAAAGAAACATTTACGTTTCAATATTCTGTTAAGAGTAGAGCATCAGGTGAACTTTGTG